CGTGGCACCGTTGGACACGCCTAGAAATCCATTCTCCTTGCACCAACCCCAGAAAAGGGCTTTGGGAACTCCATCCTGGGGCAGTGTGGTCTTCCCAAGCAAGGCTGAAAGCTGAGCTTTTCTGAAATGTCCGGAGCATGAGTGGGGAGAGTTACTTCAGCCCTTGGTGCACTTGATCCTGCCCTGTTTAGCGCCTCTCTAGAAGAGACGCGTCCCTCGGGGAAGAGTTCTGAGGCTGCTGGTGAGCCGGCTCAAAAAGGGAACTGCGCCCACTCTGTTCTCTCAGCGTGGAGAGAGATCTTGAGCAGTCCTCATCCATGGTGAATATGGCGATGGGCTTTGAATCCAAAACATCTGCAACTGACATGGACTCTGCCCTTTAGCAACGTCCAGGTGGCTACATCAAGAATCATTCGGACACGACTGCAAGGGAAGGTGGGGGAAAGGGCAGGTGGTCTTCAAACTAACCGCTCTGCTTGGCCACGTCCTGTTTCAGGATCCCACTTCTGAGAGCATCCAAGAGCTGAACTTCACCATCAAAGAGACGGTGTGCCTGGTCCAAGAAGAACGTGCCGAGGATGAATGCGACTTCAAAGACGACGGGGTGAGTGATCAGTGCCAAGCTGGGCCAGCAATGTAGCATAGATGGAGACAGGGCTGTGGCACTTCCGTAAGGCCTTATGGAGATTTCATATGGCAGATGTGAAACTGGTTCTCCATCCCCAATGTGTTGAAGAAAGGGCACATTTAGAAATGCCTCTTTTTCTTCTATCTTTGTCTTGAGGCGCACACTTCCTCCAGGTTCTCCAGATCAACTCTTAGGCCCAGCCCTGTGGACAGAGAAAGGACCCTACACTTTAACCCTTCCCCAGCCCGGGAAGCAGTCGCTTCCTTTGGCCTAAAGGGCCCGTGGAGAGACTGTGGCTGAGCCATCCGAGCTTGTCTAATGTGGCTGTGGAAGAACATGATTGAAGCAATGCCAGGGACTGGCCCAAGATTCCTCCTACGGCAAAGCAAGTGGTGGCTTCTGTGCAACAGATTCTGGGAGACAGCTTGATTCTCAGCATGGTCTTTTCTCCCCTGCAGCTGGTCAAAGAATGCTCCGGCTACTATTTCTTTGACGAGACGCCACCAGTGGCAGTTCTCACTTGTGAAACCGTGGGGGGAAATGAGGAGGAGACGGAAGAGGAGAAGGAGGAGGAGAAGGTAAGGAGGTGGTGTGGCGACTGGGGCCTCCAGTGATGAGCTCAAAACGTGGAAGGCGGGTTGGGCCATTTGCCAGGCGGAAGACACACCAGCTCAGCTGAGGTCCTCCATGTGCCACGTGTGCTGCAGAGGACATTCCACCTAAATGGCACCTCCAAGCTTTGGCTCCTCCTGAGCCAGTAACCTGACCAATGCTGAGATATGCTGGAAACGTAATTAAGTAATTTCTGGAAAGCCGTAGGTATTTCCCGTCCTTCTCGGCAGAGAGAGTCCTCCCACCACCTCCCAACGCTTGTGCGCCTCTCTCAGTTTTGAGAGTGCAGAGTTTGGAGAAGATGTTTCTTGACAGGGAGCGAGATGTACATTAAGGAAAGAAATCATCACTGACTTCCAGGGGCTGCTGGGGTGGGGTGGGGTGGGAGGCGGGCTGCCTCTGCAAGGTCCTACAGAAGCATTTTCTCCTGCCACATTCCAGTTCCCCAGGCTGAAAGGTGAGGGTTTGAGCTGAAATCAGCCCCTCCATATGTTGGGCAATGAGGCCTGACAAGAGACAATCCTTTTCTTTCTCTCCTGCAGCAGCCCAAACGTGTGAAGAGATTCAAGAAATTCTTCCGGAAGATCAAGAAAGGGTTTCGCAAAATCTTCAAGAAAACGAAGATTTTCATTGGTGGCACCATTCCCATCTAAGAGATGATTCGGAAGGGCCCGGCCTCAGATCTTCGGTCAAAGAAAGAGATTCGATCCCGCAGTTTTCCAGCTTGGCGTTCCTCCTTAGACCTGCCTCTAAGGACTACGCAGAACATCGACCATGTTCAGGCTTCCTAACTGATTGTGCAAATTAGAATTCTTTGGCTTTCTGTGCGTTTCCCCCACATTTGGTGCTGCAATTTGCCTATCCGAGAAGCCGCAGATGACCAGGTGTCGGAGCGCCGGTTCCTGGTGGAAAGGGCAAGGGAAATCGCAGTCGAGAGAGACCGGTTCGGGAAATGGCTCGAATGAGGGGGGAAAACGCATAAATGCATGTAACGCAGCTTTTTAAAAATGGAAATAAATGCTGAAATGAGACCGAGTAAGTCTCTTCTTTGCCAGATATGACTCTTCTTGAAAGTGACATAGATTTGTCCATCCCTTTCCAGAATTCCTTCTCCTTTTCTGTTGCCAACATTCTTCCTTTTCTTCTTTTTCAATATTTTAAACATTTCTTTAGAATAGAATAGAATAGAATAGAATAGAATAGAATAGAATAGAATAGAATAGAATAGAATAGAATAGAATAG